TGCCTTCATTTATTTGGGACTCAAGTTTTGTGTCTTTCTATACATTTTAAAAATTCCATTCAGACATATAGGTACTTTGTTAAACATTTTTATGCTTAACTATATAGCAGTTCAAAATAATACACTATACCGTCTTATATTCAAAATCATATAACAGTTATATCTTTCTTTTTCTTTAGTTACATTAGCTAGGCCCTCCAAGATAATGTGGAATGGCGGTTATAGAGGGAATCCCTTCCTCCCCAGTTCTGGAGGAACACCATTAGTGCATATAAAATGCTTGCTTGCATTTATTTGAGATAACTATTGTATGTAGATGCTCTCCTAGTCTTAGTGTGAAAGAAAGACTAAAGTTATTGAGTTTATTAGTTGAAACAGCATGCATGACCAGTGGCCATGTTGTAACCAGCACAAGTCTGAAGAAATTCATAAAGAGAAAATCATTTGGGGTCATGGTGTCCACAGCTGAACACTTTTATCATTTTTCTGTGTGTGGTCATCCATTTCTGCAGGTCAAATTCTAAGCTCCGGTAATTGTGGTGAGGGTAAGAACTGGCAAGATTGGGCTTCATTTTCAGTATCCCCTTTCCCCCTCTTGCCATTTTGGCTAAGAGAAACACCGAGATCTGATTTTAGTCATGGCTGGGGTCTTGAGTATGTTCCAAGTGCTTTGCATAGGGAAGTTAAGTTATAAACTCCTTAGCAACCTTGGCTTGTATAAGCTTCATAATTCTAAAAGAGAATGTAGCTGTTGGTCCTGTTTCACAGATCACAGAGTCCAGGACATTTGATGAGTTGCTCACTTCACATAACCAGTTAGTATAAAGCCTCAAGGCTCAGGGCATTTCTTATTTCTTTGAGATACAGAGTAGGGTCACCCCACACTGATTCCTGGTCCTTGACTTCTGGAGTATACACATACTTCCTCCCAATGCACAGGTCCAAGAGAACTATTACCAACTACCACGTGTTCTGTTGACTCATGTTTGGTTCCTCCAGTGCGAACTTAATTAGAAAAATGCCGGGTCCAAAGCACTTGTCCACCACCAAACCCAAGACATGCTAAGCACCAAATCTGTGTGAGTTAGACAGTGGCATGACTAAAGAGTCCAGTGCCATCCTAGGAGAAGGCCCCCATGACCCTGAGTTCTTTCATCAGAGGTTTCAGAACTGACTCTGTGTGGACTTTGTTTGGTCTCACACCCTGATCAGATTCTGAAGCCTCTGCCTTGATTGGTTGCAGGCAGACCCTCACACAGAGAGGAGATCAGCTGACTATCATCCCTGAAAAGCTTGAGCCCTTGGGTTCGAGCAGAATAGACAGAGAACTGTGAAAAACTCATCCCTCTGCTGGGGAGTTACAGGATGTACCATCAGGAAGGTGAGGTACCCCAGAAGGTATGCTTGGTTAGCTCAGACAGCATTCACTTGAGTTCTGTTTATCGGTAGCACTGATGGCTGCTCTGGGCTGGTCCTTTTTCTGTTGTGGTGCAGGGGCTAGGGCTAGCCTGGGTACTTCCATGACCTCCCACTCAATGTGACCATTTACTATCTCCATATGTGGACAAAGACACCCCGGGGCAGGGGGAGATGCCCCCAGCTACTTCTTGAGGTAGGGGAAGGGAAGTGGACCATTCTGGGGAAGGAGTCCCATTAGGCAGAGAACCTTCCATGATTCATGCCATCATGGGGTGGTGGCCCAGGAAGTGGTCCGTTGGTGGCTTTTTCATGTGAGTGGAGATGGTACAGCCATGCTCCCATCTGGTCTTTAAGTAGCAGGAATCAGAAGGCAATTAAGGAGTTTGAGATGAAGAATGAGGGATCAGGTCACTGAAACTTCTGGGGATGAGGGTTAGCCCTGAGAGGCTGTGACCAGCTCTGCCAAAGCATTCAGTGGGTGTCTGGTGTCTTCTCAGACGACACCGGCAGCGACATGACCAGTGACGACGACATGAGCCGAAGTGGGAGAGAAACTCCACCACCTCGATCCGTCCATTCTTTCAGCAGTGAGTAACTTATCCTACCAGTGACATCACGTACCATGGGCCGTTTCCAGATGCTACTTTATAAGGAGGCACAGAAGCATCCAGGCCTCTGTGTAGATCACGTGCCACCCCCAGAGCACTGGGGGGAGGGAGCAGAGTCACTGAGGCATTTTATATCAAAACAGAGACCTATGCATGGAACAAAATACAATGATTTGTTTAAAACAATAAAGATTTTAAAGCAGGGGCCAATGAAATGGCAGGGTGGGTAAAGGTGCTTGCTGTCAAGTCCGACACCCTGAGTTCGATCCTAGGGATGGTCATGGTTGGAGGGAGAGAACTGACACCCATGATTGTCACGTGGCCTCCACATAAATCTGTACACATGTGCCCCCCATAATGCAATGAATAAATAAATAAATATGTAATAAAAAGGAATTTAAAACTACTTAACATCTACTTCAAGTTAGGCTCCTAGTAGGGACACGCATTTCATTTTCCTGGGCCTCGGTGTTTGACAGTAGAATAACATATGCTTTTAAAGCAGCTGGCCTGAACTAGGGAGGGAGGGTCTGTTGCCCCTCGTCTGAATTTGGACATCACTTAGGAACTGGACACACAAGGACAGAATATGAAGGAAGCTAGCTTAGAACTTGCTCTGAAGCAAGGCTCACCTGGACATAGTCTGTAGGGTAGTACTGAGCCTGGGAGTCTGGAGCCCCCACCTCAGGACCATCGCATGGGAGGAGTAAGCACAGGGTCCCTTCTAGAGGGGCATATGCACTCAGAAGGAAAATGGATGCAGATGTGGCAGATTGCTCCATTAACCACTCAAATGTCTGGCCTGCTTAGGTGACCGGGATCGGGAGCGAGAGCGGGAATGGGACCACAGGGGCAGAAGCCGAGATGTGGAGCCTCGAGACCGCTGGTCATCCTACACCAGGAATCCTAGAAGCAGTAAGTTGCCTGCCAACCTGCATCACAGCACAGGGACCTTGTGCACAGGTTCAAGGGAGTGATGATGGGGACCTCAGAAGTCCCTACTGCTCAATGTGGATAGTATCCCAGTTCCTAAAATGCTTAGTCCCAGGCTCCTGTGTCTGAGGTTCCTCGTGGTAGAGTCATCTTGTGCCATTTTGCCATCTATACCTATTTCAGCCCATACTGTTGTTTGCTTAATGTTTTTCTCAGGCAGACAACTAGCGGTTTCTAAATATAAGATTCTACTACTGCTGGGCGTGGTGGCACACACTATTAGTCCCAGCAATAGGGAGGCAGAGGCAGGTTTATCTCTGTGAGATCAACGCCAACCTGTTCTGCATAGCATGTTCCAGACCAACTGGGGCTACAGGGAGACCCTGTCTCAAAAAAGCACAAACAAAAGATGAGCTGCTAATTTAAGATCAACACAGACAACTAATCATGAGAAACAAGCACAATTTAATTATAGCAATATTGCCTACTGTGGGTTCATGCATGGGTAGGGAAGTACCAGGCCTAAGAGTGCCTTATTGACCAGAAGAGAATTTGAACCGAACCAGGAAACATGACATCAATGTATCATTGGGTCCACACCACTAGAAACTATCTCTTGTTCCTTTTGGACTTGGAAGACAGTGCATTTGTCAGTAGGGCACTCTGAAATTACCAGGCAGGGGTTATCAGTACTCTCACATCTACTAGTAAGTAGTTCAGCGCACCTTCGTTCACCTTCCAGGCCTTACCTCTAGTTCCAAATGAGAGAACTGAAAGGTCAGTGACTTAGCACAAGAATGAAGACACTATGCCTGGACCCATGTGACTTAGCCATGACCCCAACTGACTCTGAGGTTAGGAAGGAAGAACGCCAGGCTCCCTGCCTATACTCTGGGATGTTGCAAGCTCCTTACACAGAATTTGAAGAAATATTCTTGCACACACTCATATCCTAGATGGCTCAGGGCAGGCATGGGAGCTTTGACTGGGTTCTGCTCCCTCTTAATGCCTTTCTTTCTTCCTAGGAATGCCTCAGCGGGATCTTTCCCTCCCCGTGATGTCCAGACCACGTTTTGGAATGGAGAGAGATGATGAAAGACGCTCGATGGATTATGAGTCCCACTCACAGGTATGCTCAGGTTTCCTCTCTTTCCAGAAAAGCTATCTTCATTTCACAACAAAGATGCCTTTCCTTCCCATGTTGATGTGTTCATCTGCTCCCTAGAGAGTCCTCAGGCACTCCCAGGAGGAGCCAGGGGCCATCCCCACAGGTGACTGGTGGCGGTCACTGTTGCCTGTTTTCTAACTTACAATGTTTCAGAGGCACGCCACACCTCAGCGTGCGTGCCACTGCATAGGTCGAGCAGCAGAGTCATTCTGAGGGTCTTGATCTTGCTGAAAGTTGAGAGCAGGAAAGCCGAGCATCCAGAAAGCAGATGGGCCAGGGAAAGCAAAGGCTCTGGAGCTGATGAGATTGGGGTGCAAAGCCTGGCCCTGCTACCCACTTGCTTGAAGGAGGGTGGTGGATGGACCACTCAGCAAGGCTGAGCCTCAGTTTCCTCATCAATAAAAATCACATGGTGATTTTCTCCCAATGCCCTTTGATTGTGAGGAGTCAATGCCATGCCCACACCCATGTGTACTGACTGTCAGTTCCTGTATTAACATCTGGCACATGATGGGCATTGTATTAATACCCACGGCGGTCACTGTTTAAGAGACAGTGTGTACTAGGGAGGTTGGTAAAGGGGAAGGACATGAAATTTGAGCTGACACTTGACAGAGGAAGAGAAAGGTGGCCACTTTGACACTGAGCATAGAGGAGGACCTTAGCCACCATACCTCAAAAATGTGGGAGGGAGGGAGGCTATGGTGGCACACACCTTTAATCCCAGTACTTGGGAGGCAGAGGCAGGTGGATCTCTGTGAGATTGACCCCAGCCTGGTCTACATAGCAAGTTCCAGGCCAGCTACAGGGAGACCCTGTCTCAAAAGAGGAGCCAGTGGGCAGAGCCTTTATTAAGCAATTAAGCATCTGTGCCCTAGGGAGCATGGCAGTGACCAAGACCATTAGCGTCTTTTTCCAGTGGTACAAGTAAATATTTCTATAAATACTATCCATCTGATGAACGTTCCGAGTAGTCTCAAACAGAATAGTAACAAGAAATGACAACAGGGTTTTGATTTGGATTGAAGGAAAATGCCTTCAAGGCAGCAACACTTGACTTTTGAAGGTCAGGAAGCAGAGGACTAGGTTCAGGGTTGGAGTGAGGGAACCCAAGGCTTTAGGGAGAGCTCTGGCAAAGGCTTTGGTACAGGAACTAAGCCATGCAGCTGGCACACCACAGGAGAGGCAGGAGATGGGCTGGATTGCTGGTACCTGATAGTTCAACTTCATGTAGTTTTGTTTCTCAGATTCCCTTCTGTGACAAAGTGTGTGGAAAGTTGCTGACCAAGCCCCACATCTATGTAATCCATCCATCTGGGAACCACTGATTCCTACTGACTCAGAGTAGAGGCAGCAGTCATAGATTATGCAAATCACATTGTGAGAGTGTCCAACACAGAAATTCTCTTCATCATCTCTTAATATCACATGCAAATCCCTTAATGGTTCATGTGTGTAGCTCATGTTGTGAAAATGAAATCCCACCATGTTAGCATTGTCCTTGGGATACCTCTGCCACTTGAACTTAATTGCAGCTCATGTACATCTAGATGTTATTGTTGATTACAAACATAAAGTGAACAGCTGCTCTATAGAAGCAGTATAGTTCAGAATTAATTGATGCAGATTATTTGTTTTATGCAAATGAGATAGGGAAATATAAGAAATAACCTATCTGCTATTGCCTCTGGGCTCTGTGTACTTGAGGAATGCCACTCATCTTACCAAGCTCTTGACTCCTTTGCCCTCTGCCAGCCTCCCTAGTTATGAACTCTGGTTTCCTGTGTCATCACAAACATATCTGCGTGCCCACCTATTCTTTCTTTTATTCATAAGTAAATGCCAAGACTTCTTCACAAACGTGGGTAGGACAGAGCTCCTGCCCCCAAGGAACATTCTGTATGACTAGGAGATGGGCACCCAATAGAAATCATGCATTTATCTTTAGGAGGTATTGGTTCTCCAGTGATTCCTAAGAGTCTGTGGCCTTTTGTCTCACAATTCTCAACTCTAACCAAGAAAGAGTTTCGTTTCTGAAGCTATGCTTCACCTCCTTGCCCTAATTTTTGTTATTGTTTGTTTCTTATTAACCAAATGTGGGCAGTTGCATTAATGAGGCTTTCCTCTTAAAACTTGATGCCTGTGCCTTTTATTTTTTGCTACGTTTCCTGTGTTTATATTAAAATCCATGCCTCGTCCCAGTAATAAAATAGCAAATTTAATATCAAAATATCTTTTATGTAAAAGTTAGACTGAAATCAATGGCAGAAACCTTCACCCACAATGTGGCAGAATTACAGGTTCTTTTCTGGCCATTGACAATGAAGAACCTGAGGCTCATCTCAGGAAGATTTCCATTTCCAAGTCTGTATGGCTCACAAATGGTGCAGTCTGCCTTTGACCCTAGTGTTCTCTCCAGCTCCAAAGCCTTTAGACCCCCACAGCAGCATCTCCCTCCTCAGATATTCCTTCAGGCTACAGTGCCGCTCTCCCCAGGATCAGAAATCACCCAGACCCAGGGCTTCCTTCTGGCGATAAGCAAAGGCCTTTCAGGACCTTGCAGGGAAGGTTCTCGTGAGTAATGCAGGAGATTTTATAATTCTTGAGGGGAATCTATATTAAGATAAAAGGTAGCTCAAAAGTAAGAGTTGTCCATGCTTAGAGTTAATTGTGGGTTATTTGGAAATCCCACACACTACAATCTCTACATTGTAGGCAAGCCATGCAGTGGAGAAACAGAAAGGGAAGTTAGAAATCACACATTCAGACCAGACATCTGCTGGAGCACACGTTCTCTCTGTTCCCATGAGTACACCATGCATGTTGATATTTGGCCTGTGTGCGCTTTCCCACCAGTCCCTCTTTCACCTACCACTTCAGGTCCCACTCAAGGCCCTCTGCAAAACCTTTGTTTCAGGCCTGCCCTGAAACGTCCCTCCACAAAACCCCTTAGCATTTATTATCTGTATCCCAATTTACTGTTCAATGTTCTCTAATTGTTTCATGAGTCTTTTCTCTCCAACCAAATTATAAGCTGCATGAGGGCAAGGAATATGTGTCATGCGTCTTTGGGATCTGCCTCAGAGTGTAGCACCAAGGTAGGTACGACGTAGGCCCCTAGTAACACTTGCCTTGGATCACTCAGAACCCCAAATACTGTGAGCACTTCCTATATAACCATGTATGTAGCTCCCATGTCGCCAACATTATTCTGTCTTTGGATATCCATGGGGACAGACTCCATTGAGAGGCCTATGTTTGATATTTTAGGATGCTGAATCCTACCAGAACGTCGTGGGCCTCAAAGAGGACAAGAAACCTCAGAATCCAATTCAGGACAACCTGGAGAACTACAGGAAGCTGCTCTCCCTGGGTAAGCAGCTGCTTCCCTCAGTCAATTGGCACCAGTAACTGGAGGGTGCCCCTTGTCACTTGGCTTGTTTCAAGTCATGTGACGAGTCCTTGCTAATACATTTTGGACCTTGAGGCCACCAAGGCTTTGGGAAATTTTCCCCTTTAAGGAAGCAAATGATGAAATTTGTGTTTTTATGAACTCTCTCTGGCTTTGGTTGAAGGAGCCATTGTTCACAGCAGGGCTGAACAGGGAGATGGCATGTGTCACAGAGTTAATAGTTTTTCTGTAGTAATGATAGCACAGAACTTTAAACACATGTCAAATGGGATCTTGAGTTTCTGTGCAGATCCCACCAGACCCAAGTTAGTAGTAGGCAGTTGGCAAAAATCTGCAAGTCCATGGGGGTTTCAAGGAGCTCTGGTGTTTAGGAAGTAGATAAAGAGCATCAAAATTTAGGCAAAAGAGCTGGGTGTAGTGGCATAGGCCCGAGGTCTAGCACTGTGTACTGAAACAGGAGGATCACAAGTTTGAGGCCAGCCTGGGCTACATACATAATGAGACTCTCTTGGAAAAAGAACGGAGGCCCATGAAGTGACTAAAAGTGATGGGGTCTTTGTAGTCTTCTGGGTCTGACTACACTAAGAATCAAAATGTAGATTGCAGAGGGTCAAAGAATGAATAGTGAGGAAATGAAAGGCATCCAAAGACTCAAATGTGAGCTGCTACATATTCACCTCCCCAGAGAAAGGCAGAAACAGAGATGAGTTTGTGGTGATGAGTCTCCATCTCCACCGTCAACCTGAGCTGTTGTTTTGTTCCTGTAATCAGGTGTGCAGCTTGCTGAAGATGACCGCCACTCCCATATGACCCAAGGCCACTCATCGAGGTCCAAGAGAAGTGCCTACCCAAGCACCAGTCGAGGTGAGTGGTGAGCAGATCACACAAGCCACATATGGAGCAGCCACACTTGGCATTCTTGAACACCACAGGTCACACTGCCTAGGAGCCAGGGAGTATTCACATTCAGGATTTCCTTCCAGGTCTGAAGCCTACACCTGAAGCCAAAAAGTCAACCCACCGCCGTGGAATCTGTGAAGATGAATCTTCTCACGGAGTGATCATGGAAAAATTCATCAAGGATGTGTCCCGTAGCTCCAAATCCGGAAGAGCACGGGAAGGGAATGATCGGCCTCCAAGGTTCCCCAGAGTGCCAAATGATAACTGGAAGGACACTTCGTCAAACAAGAGGGAGTCAGTAGTCCAGGAGAGGGCTTCTGAGGGGAGTACCCCCAGGGGAACCTTCCGGTTCAACCCAGAATTGATGTCCAGAAACAGAGGTCTAGACAGGAAGCGGCGCTATCATTTCGACAGTGATGACAAGGGATCGGGGCAGGATCACAAGAACTGTGTGAGGAAGAAGCCCTTTGAATGTGGTAGTGAGATGAGGCAGGCCATGAGCATGGGCAACCTGACCTGCCCACCTGTTGCTGATCCGCAGACCATTGAGTTTCCGGCCGATCCGTATGTGTGTGATGAATGTGGCAGAACCTTCAGTGTCATCTCGGAGTTTGTAGAGCACCAGATCATGCACACTAGGGAGAACCTCTATGAGTACGGCGAGTCCTTTATTCACAGTGTGGCTGTCAATGAGGGCCAGAAAGGTCAGGGTGGGGGGAAACGCTTTGAGTGTAAGGAGTGTGGGGAAACCTTCAATAAGAGTGCTGCCCTAGCTGAGCACCGCAGAATTCATGCTAGAGAGCATTTGGCAGAATGTAAAGATCCGGAGGAAGAGGACGCAGTCATGCCTAGTCCCACCTTCAGTGAGCTTCAGAAGATGTATGGCAAAGACAAATTCTATGAGTGTAAGGTGTGCAAGGAGACCTTTCTCTATAGCTCTGCCCTGATTGAGCACCAGAAAATCCACCGCAGAGAAGAGAGAGAAGAGAGGGAGCGGGAGCGCGCCCGTGCACGAGCACAGCGCGAACGTGAGCGTGAACGTGAGCGTGAGCTTGGGGAACCTTTCATGACCTGTTCAAGCTTTAGTGAGTTTCGGAAAATGTATGGTAAAGACAAAATCTACGAGTGCAAGGTGTGTGGGGAGAGCTTCCTTCATCTCTCATCCCTGAGGGAACATCAGAAAATTCACACTAGGGGAAACCCATTTGAAAATAAGAGGATGTGTGAGGAGACCTTTATTCCCAGTCAGTCCCTCAAAAGGCGTCAGAAATCTTACAAGGAGAAGCCCTTTGAATTTAACAATGGCAGGGATGGTTTAATGGAAAGCTCAGACCTCAGTGAGCACCAGAAAATCCGCTCTCGAAAGAATTTCTTTGAAGGCAGGAGATACGAGAAACCATTTCCTGAATCTCAGAAGAGTCACACTATAACCAGACCACCCGGAAACACAGAGGATGAGAAGGCATTCACCATCAGCAGTAACCCTAACGACAAGCAGAAGTTTCCAACCATGGAAAATGCCTACGAGAGGCCTGCCATTTGCAGCTTAAGACCCGTAGAACCTCCGAAAAGTCAGGGTGCAGTGGGGTTCAGTAAACCAAAAGTAAAGGCAGAGTCTAGCACTCAGAGCTCAAGTGGCATTAGCCATCCTCCAGAAGTCCACTCTGGAGGGAATAGTAATGAAGGAAAGGAATACAAAGGGTCCATTATCCACAGTCCAGCCACCCCTAGACCTCTGAAACGTCACAGAGGAAATGACCAGATTGAATGTGGTGATGAGGGAGAATCCTCTGTTTATATCTCAGACCTTAACAAACGAAGGAAGATTCCTACCAGAGAGAGTGCTCACGAAGAAAGCAAGAACAACTACAAGGATTCCACTACACCAAGTGCGTCCCATGCTGAGCCTCAGAGTCTTCCCGTAGAGGCATCTGGTAAATCTAAGGAGGATGTCAAATTTTCTGTCCCCAGCTCAAGTGTCCGTGAACACCAGAAGGCTCGAGCCAAAAAGAAATACATTGAACCCAACGAGACCAAGAGCAACGAGACCTCTGTAATTCAATCCCTGTTTTTTAGAGAGCTGTATGCAATTCGCCAGAGAGCTAAATTATTTGAATGTCAGGAGTGTGGGGAGACCTTTGTCCACAGATCTGACCTCATTGAGCACCAGAAGATTCATGATAGAGAAAGGCCTTCTGGAAGCAGACATTATGAACGATCTGTCATCTGCAGCCTGGCCCCTACCGACCCCCAGACAAGTTATGCCCAGGAACGTTATGCTGAAGAACAAGCACGCAAATTCCAGGAGTTTGGACAGCATTCTACCAGCAATAGCCCCAGTGTACAGAAAATCTATGTCCAAGAGAAGGTTCATTCGGAGGAGTTCCATGCTATGGAAACCAGTGTTCAAGGGAGTCTCGGCCAGGAGTCCCATGCTATGGAAACCAGTGTTCAAGAGAGTCACACCGAGGAGTCCCATGCTATGGAAACCAGTGTTCAAGAGAGTCACACCGAGGAGTCCCATGCTATGGAAATCAGTGTTCAAGAGAGTCACACCGAGGAGTCCCATGCTATGGAAACCAATGTTCAAGAGAGTCACACCGAGGAGTTCCATGCTATGGAAACCAATGATCAGGAAACCAATAGCCAGGAAACCAATGGGCAGGAGATTCATGGTGAGGAACCACATGGTGATGGGCCCCATGGTGAGGAGCCTCATGGTGAAGGGCTCCATGGTCAGGAGAAACCTGAAGATGCTACCCCTCAGGCCTCAGGCTCTAATGAACACCAGAAAGATGACACCATCTATGAATGCCAGGAGTGTGGGTTGGGCTTTGCAGATCTCACCGACCTCACAAGCCACCAGAATGTCCACAGCAGAAAGTCTCTGGTGGACAGTCGGGAATACGAGCGTTCTGAAGATCACGTCCATTCTGTGAGTGAATTTGAGAAGAAGTACTCTGGAGAGAAGCTGTACGAGTGTTCGAAATGCGGAGAGTCTTTCATCCACAGCTCCTTCCTGTTTGAGCACCAGAGGGTCCATGAAGAGGAGCAGCTGTACTCCGTGAAGGGATGCGATGACGGTTTCATTGTCCTCTTGCCGGTGAGGCCAAGCAGGAATCATGCCCAGGACACGGATCCCGCTGTTGCTGGCTCAGCCATCCGCTGCCGTCAGTGCGGACAAGGCTTCATCCACAGCTCTGCCCTGAACGAGCACATGCGACACCACCGGGATGACGAGCTGCTGGAGCAGAGCGAGCTGGCTGAGGAGATCTTCATTCACAGTCTGGCCCTCACCGAGTACCAGGGGAGCGAGGCGGAGACAGAGGAGAAGCTGTTCGAGTGCACCATCTGCGGGGAGTGCTTCTTCACCGCCAAGCAGCTGGGCGACCACCACAGCAGGGTGCACAAGGACGAGCCCTATGAGTACGGGCCGGCCTACACGCACGCCTCCTTCCTCACTGAGCCGCTCCGGAAGCACATCCCGCTGTACGAGTGCAAGGACTGCGGGCAGCCCTTCGTGGACGACACGGTCATCACGGAGCACGTGGTGTTCCACACGGACGACGGCGAGGAGGAGATCGTGACCGCCACCGCCCAGGAGGTCGAGGCCAACGTCCTCATCCCGCAGGAGGTCCTGCGGGTCCAGGGCTCCAACGCTGAGGCTGCCGAGCCCGAGGTGGAGGCCGCGGAGCCGGAAGTGGAGGCCGCGGAGCCGGAAGTGGAGGCTGCGGAGCCCAACGGAGAGGCGGAAGGGGCGGAGGGGGAAGCTGCCGAGCCTGATGGCGAGGCCGAGCAGCCCAACGGGGAGGCCGAACAGCCGAACGGTGACGCCGACGAACCAGATGGTGCCGGGTTCGAAGACCCAGAAGAAAGAGCCGAAGAGCCGGAGGATGATGTGGAGGAGCCTGAGGGGGATGCTGACGAGCCCGACGGGGCAGGCATAGATGACCCAGAGGAGGAAGGTGAGGACCAGGAGATCGAGGTGGAGGAGCCGTACTACAACTGCCACGAGTGCACGGGGACCTTCGCCTCCAGCGCAGCCTTCGGGGAGCACCTGAAAACCCACGCCAGCGTGATCATCTTCGAGCCTGCAAATGCCCTCGGGGAGTGCTCAGGCTACATCGAGAGGGCCAGCACCAGTGCTGGCGGAGCGGACCAGGCCGACGACAAGTACTTCAAATGTGATGTCTGCGGGCAGCTCTTCAACGACCGCCTGTCCCTTGCCAGACACCAGAACAGCCACACTGGCTGAGCAGCTTGAGAAACAAAACAAAGCGAAACAGCGGCAACAACAAAACCCTCCTCCGAGAGCTGGACCTTTGCCAAATAACAAAGAATTTAAACCAACTTACAATGTCAGTAAAAAACTTGATCTTTGTGTACACACACCGGACTTACCATGAAACAAACTCAGACTAAAACAGAGATTGATGCAGAGACTCCTTCAGTCTTTAGCAATTCTCTGTTGAACATCGGGGTATACCTGGGAAAGCTTTATCTGAGGAACTAGATTGAAGGAAAGCCCTATGAATATTCACGACAACAGAGGTTGCCCCAATCAACTGTAAATGACACCCATGTGACCTCTACATAACAATTCCTGCCATGTATATAAACAAGCAAATCACTGATCATGTGTATCTGGATTTAATGTGATAAAACAGTTTACTCCGCAGAGGGACCTACGTGGTACTCTGATTTTTTTTGAGGAGGAAGAGAGCAACAAATTAGCATATATTTGTAAGTGTTTTAGATCCCCAGAAAGCTTTATTGTGCATTGTTTGAACCCCCATTAGTGTCCTTCCCAGTAAGTGACTGTTTTGTTCTTACCTTTTAGTCTTGTGAAGGTGTGGGCATGAAAGATCACATGTCTTTTAATCTTGGCTGTTTGAAAACAGAAGACATTTTAACTTCTACAGCCATTTGATGTGCACCTATCCCCCCCTTTGAAACTTAATGTATAAGACTTTACAATATGTGAATTGGTCTCTGTGACCTAAATCAACCCGTTTGCGTCATAATATGTCCCCTGCTACAATTTTCATGCAAAAATGTTGCATTTTAGGTCCCCTCCCCCTTTTTTACAACAAATTCATCATGTGTTCAGTAGTGAATTCATAAAACCTAGAGCTTTTCCCTGTGAATTTTAATGTCTTTGCCTTTAAAGAGTGGGTGACAACCATCACTAGATCACAGTCGTGCCTAATGAAGGTTGGGAACCATAGGAGAGGCTCTTACGCTGTAAATAAGGAAGCAGGCTGACAACCTTTCATTAACTCTGCTGTGCGCTTCCTGCCTTAAGTGACAAGTGGCAACATTGCTTGAGTCACCTGTGTGGTGTCCCTATGTGCTGCCACAAGTCCGTGTGCTGCCTGGGTGCCCAGGAGCTTGTATCCTTAGATCTTTGTATCTCTAAACTCAATTTTCCTGTTCTTTGCCTATCCGTCTGTCTAACCCCAAGTCTAACTTGCATTTAAATAAAACAAAAACATACAAAAAAAGCTTTCTTTATAGTTAATCCTAGCTTAACATGGACTCAGGTTCCCCAGCAGCCTTAATTTGTTTTGTCATGATCCGTTCTTTCTCCTTGAACCCTCTTGAGTATTTCTGAACTATCTATTGAGTGTCCTGTCCGTCTTAACGTCCTCAGTTTTCCTTAATCACAAATTGACCTCCCAGCTTGAAGTCCTCCCTGTGTCCTGTACTGTGGACCACCTGTGCCCCTTTGCTTTCCCTCCCCCTCGTATAATGGATATATACAGAAAATTTTGGGCCTTCAGTTGGCTGGGAAAAAAAATTTAAAAATTTAAAAAATTAAAAAAAAAGGATGAGTAGATGAAGAAAGCAAACGATAACTCGCAGAACATTCGCGAAAGTGAAGTGAAAACACCTGCTGGGGAAACAAGTCTGACTCTTCTAGATCTGTAGGTCTGGAGCTTGTGGGGGAGTATGCCGAAGCTTCAGGGAATGTCAACACCTTGAGAGGTTGGAGAGAGAAGAGCAAGAAGCCGAAAGGCACGAGCCAGAGAGGCAAGTTCTTTATAACAGCAGACCTAGCGGGGAAAAGAGACAGGCAGAAGAAAACACCAACAGCAGGGTTTTTGACGGCTAGGATGGCGAGGTGAAGTGAATGAGGTGTCCTGGACAGTTGGAAGAAGGGCCTTTTGATGGCAAGGTGTAGCGAAAGCCAGCTGCTTAGAGAGACTCAAAGTTGGAAATGACATCCAGGGAAATAAAGGGGCAATGTTACCCCACATCGGAGAAGCACCCTTGAAACAGAAATCAGTGTGGATGTCATCAGGGTAAATTTGTGGATTTGTTATCATTGGCAGTGTTCTCCAATTGACCCTTTTCGGAAAGCAGCTTGTCAAGAGTGTCCACTCCAACCTTAACTGAGTGGAAGATTAGGAACAACTGAAATGCCAGACAGTAAAAGAATAATTAAGTCAGTGTACCCCTGGATTCTTACGCAGCTGTTTAAAAAAGATAATCGTGAAGAGGTTGTGTAACAGATATTTACAGAATATTAAGTGAAGAAAGCAGGACACAAAATTATATTTATACTACAATTATAACTGTTTTAAAAATGTACGCTTATAGTCAAAGCTATTGTGTTGTTGTAGGCTTATAGTCAAGCATTATTTTCTTAAATTTCGTGAATGTTCTTTATGGTAGTGTTACTCAGAAGTTAATGATCACATTTCCATCATGAACATAATTGGAACTCGTTATCAAACAGTTGGAAAATACAGAAAAGTGGAGGAAAGATAAACCATGTCCCCACCATCCAAAGATAGATATACTCTTTGATATCTTGTTTATTCTTGTTACTGTGCACAGGTTTATATTGTAACTGTGTCAAAATGTGTATTCAAGATAGCTGTTTAGGTTACTCGTGTAATTATGGTTAAATGGTTTCATCGGAAGTTTTTCAAATTCTCCTTGTAATAGTGTCCTGATAATGAAGTTTATTATGCAATGTCATCATTATAAGCATAATATTTACCCAGAAATTGGAAAATTGGAAAATTCAGTAAATTTAGAAAAGGAAAAAAATGATTCACCTGTGTTCCCCACACCCAATAACTGTGAAGATCTTAATTTCCTCTGTCTTGTTTCGTGCACAAACTTGCGATTTCAACAGTGTTAAATAGATTTGTGTGAAGTCTAAAATGAAAAGAAATGTGGGAAACAAAGAAAGTGCTGTGGGATTGTGGTTAAATATTTTGTTCCAAATTGCTTGAATAATCTTTGGTGTTTGGGTAACAAACTTTATGTATGTACTTGTCATCATAAATTTAAGACCTACTCAAAGAAAACTGGGACTCTTAATAAAGTAGAGAAAGAAGATTTCAAATTTCCAACAATGACTGGCAACACCTGGATGTGTACAGCACTTGAGTCTGTGGTTATTATGGCGTTCAAGATTAGGATGCGGAAGTTTCCAAGATGGGAAGAAACCTGGGAAGCAGTTGGGAAATAGCTGTGGGTTTTCAGTAGTATTACAGCCAGGTGTGTTTTCTCAGTTTCTTTGAGTGGTCTTTATCATAGTGTTTTAGTAGTCCACCCTTACTCCCCGTATCTCCATCATATGCGCAGTACCTTTTCATTCTAGTAGCCTTGAAGACACGGAGATGTAGAAGAGAAGCACCCATATTTTCATCACCCAAAGACTGTGTCAGCATCTCCATCTAATTTCTTTGTATTGTTTCTGTGCACAGACTTTTGGTTTGTTAATATGGTTGTTGTCGTTCTACCTTGTAATAGTGTCAACAATAAAAATAAAGTTAAAAATAAGATATTTCTCAGTTTATTCTTTTTTTCCAGTTGAAGTGTGTGGATTTGTTAACTTGGGCCGGGGCGGGGGTGGGGGTTGTTATTATTGATAAAGTTATAAATTCAAAATCTTTAGTGTCCCCTCAGGTATATAAAGTTTGGCCTTATACATCTGAGGCCTTTTTTCTTTTTCCTTTTTTTAGGTTTTGTGTGTGTGTGTGTGTGTGTGTGTGTGTGTGTAAGATTATGGGTAACAGCATTCCTTCCTCGGTGTGTGTGTGGAGTTCAGAGTACAACCTCAGGCATCGACTTTCACCTTGATTGACACAGGGTCTCTTGTTCACTGGGTACTCCAGGTTAGCTGGATGGCAAAGTTTCTGAGGATTCTCCGGTCTCTGCTTCTCATCTCCCTGTAGGAACACTGGTATTACACATGTGCATTACAGACGTGCAGCTTAGAGACAGGCTTTATGTGGGTTCTGAGGATCCGAAAACTCAGGTCTTTGTGAGTACACTGTAAGTGCTTTACCTACTGAACCATCTTGGCAGCCCTTCATTTTCTTAATTTAAGGACTGCATTTTTCAACAATTATTTCTAAGGGATCTTTAAAAACCACTTGAATGGTCTGTTTTTAACTGCACTTGAGTCATATTCAAATAGTGGTTTAAAATTTAAATTGTAATCACAAATATATTTTGGTTCCTTGATAAGGTATTTTTAATGGGAAATATGAGGTTCTATAGATCAAGGGTTCATCAATCCTTCACATCAAAATACTAATATTAGGGTTTAGAATCACTGGGAAGTGTTTATTCCTAACTCTTGAGGGAAATTAAAAAGTGTTTATTTCCATTCATTAACTCTACCTTAATCCAGATGTACCAGGAACATAACAGGTTAGCTGGTTATCACCAGAGAATATTTAGAAGGTAATGTTTGTGTACAAGTGCAAATGGAGGCCAGAGGTCTCCTTGGGGGAAATTCTTCAGGCCATCCACTTTGTTTTTGAGACAGGATCTCTCTGTAGCTGGCCTGGAACTCACTATGTAGATCAGGCTGGCCTCAAATTCACAGAGATCCACCTGCCTCTGCCAAGTGCTGGGATTAAAGTGCACCACCATGCCTGGCCGGGAAGTAATTTTTAAACATGCTTGTGGCTTCATAATGATCAGATATTTTTAGCTCATTAGCTAACTAGATTGCTGGTACTGGAAATACCACACACAACTGTGGCTGCAGCATATTTGATTCCATAGCTCAAAGAGGATTGTCAAAATTCCCACTTCCTCTGCCCACCCTCTACATTCCAGGACTGGACCTTGCTCCTAAGATAGAAGAGCACAAATTTCATGTCAATATTCTTGAATTTTTTTCATATTCTTTAAACTTTAATCTTTTTATTTTATGTGTGTGAATGTTTTGCCTGCTTGTATGTAAGTATACATGCATGGATTCCCTAGAATTGGAGTTACAGGTGGTTGTTAGCTGCCATGTGGGTGCTGGGAACTGACCCTCTGTCCTCTGAAAGAGCAGCCAGTACTCTTAACCACTGAGCCATTTCTCTGGCTCTTTGTAGTCTTAGAACTTTTATTTACACTAAAATGAAGTCCCATTGAATCACAATTTGAATGGAAGTTCTACAACAACAGACATCAACAAGAGGATCAGTTCTTTTTCAAGATCTGTTTTCTGAAGAATACTTTGATGGAAGGTCATAAAGAAATGAAATGGGTGTCCATTGACATTGCATGATCCATCCTTATGACCCATCCAATTCCTTCCTCCGCTCACATTTCACTTGAAGGGGAAATTGACTCCCTACCACCACATTTCTAGATTTGACCTCTCTCTAGCATCAGCTGATTCATGCTCATGGGTTCCCAAAGTCCAGTCACAATCAAAAGAAATTAATAGCTAACTAGGCAAATTATCAGGGTTGGGTCAGGGTTAGGTATATCAAAGAGAGAGGGTCACATGACCAGAATCATATACTTCTTAGTGCTTCATTAACCCCAGTGCCTTTTAGAGTCTGACTGAAAGGCCTGCCCTTCTCAGGACTATGATGAAATACTAGAGGTCATTAACTTAAAAAGAACAAAAATTTGGTTTTGGCTCATGGTTCCAGCCCTAGGGGACTCTGGCAAGGGGGATACATTATGGTGGGAGCATGGTTGCCGAGTGAACCAATCTGCTCACAAGCCAGGAAACAAAAGTGAGAGTAAGCAGCCAGAGTCCCACAATCCCCTTAAAGGGCACACCCCAGTGACCTAAAACCTTGGTATGAGGCCCCACTTCTCAAAGGTTGTGTCAGTTCCCAATGGCACCACCCTGGGGACCATGCCTTTAACACACAAGCCTTTGTAAAACATTTATCCCAAACCACAGCTCATAAATAATGCATTCACTGGCCAAAAGAAACAAGCTTTCCAAGAATTATTGAATGTCGAATCCAACTAATATTAACTGAAGTGTGGCATTGTAAAGTATAATTACAACATGTCATCGGCAAGCAGACTAGCTCCCTCCCCAGAAAGGCAAAAAACGAAGCAAAGACCCAGCGTTCTGCCTACTTCCAGTCAGACATCTGGTGGCCTAATGGTTGATCACACTAAAGTCACTTTCACCACAGAAAGGGCAATGATGTATCCTCAATGAAGTAGAAGCTGTTCTAGATTTAGATTTCGTTACCCTTGCACACCAGCCTTAGATCAACATCTGTGAATGTACCACACACCCTATATGCCATTCACATATACATGTAGCAGTTAACAATAGTCATGATTACATTGCATGGGATAGCTCACAACCACCTATAACTCCCATTCCAGGGGATCCAATAGCCTCTTCTGGACTCTACAGGCACCTGCATGCACATGGTTTATATACACACACTCAGGTACACATGCATACAAGTTAAAAAATAAACCTCAAGACTGTAGAGATGGCTCGGCAGTTAAGAACACTGACTGCTCTTGCAGAGGACCCCAGTTCAGTTGCTAAAACCCACATGGCAACTAACAATCATCCATAGCTCCAGTTCCAGGGGATCTGATGACCTCTTCTGACCTCCGTGGGCACTGCATGATACAGGTACACTTACATACATGTAGGCAATACACTCAGACACAGAAAAAAATGAAAGTAATGAATAAAAATTTTAAATAAACCTTAAACCCTAGATCTTCAGCCCCTTTGTAGTGGGGTGTGGTGACACTCACCTTTAATCTTAGCATGTGGGAGGTAGAGGCAGGCTGACCTCTGTTTGAGGCCAGTCTACATACAGAATTCTAGGCCAGGCAGGACTGCATAGTGAGACTCTATCTCAAACAAACAAACCCTTCAATGACACATAACAAGTGCATATTGTTCGGTTTAGGATGAGCTCAGGGTTGACTAGGAGGACAATGCTTCTCTTGACTGGGTCTGCTCATATATTTGGGGGTTGACTGGCTATCAGCTAACCTAGGCCTCAAGCATAGCATTTCAGCCTTTGTTTCTTTTCCTGTTGTGATAAAATTATCTGATCAAAGCCACTTTAAGGAAGAAAGGATTTACTTTATCTCATTGTCCAATCATGGTAGGGAAGTCAAGGCAGCAGGAGCTCAAAGTAGCTGGTCACATCTCATTCACTGTCAGAGAATAGGTATAAATACAAGCCAGTGCATGCCTCCACTGTCTCCCTTTTCTACAGTTCAGAGATCCCCTGTCTGGAGAACGGTCCCTCCCACAGTTAAAAATGGCTCTTTCCACATCAGTTAACATAATCAAGATATCCTCCCCCATAGGTATGCCAACAGGCCCATCTCCTAGTCACGTGACTCTAGTTCCTGTGAAGTTGGCAGCACTAATCATCTCACTTGAGTGGAAGATTTTTTTTTTAACCATAGTTTATTTTGTGTATGTGTAGGTATATATGCCACAGCACTTGTGTGGAGGTGAGATGACAACTTCAGAGAGTCCATTCTCTCTTTCCACCCTGTGGATCCTTGGAATCCAACTCAGGTCATCAGGCTTGGCTGCAAGTGTCTTTTACCCACTGAGCCATCTCACCAAGGTGGGAGATTCTTACCCATGTCAATCATTCTTCTGACAGGAAGCAGGTTTGTTTAGGCTCAGATTGGCTAGTGTCACCCTATCTGTTGGCTAAAGCAAGCCTTTTGGAATACTAAATTTTTTTTTTTGTATGTGTATGTGTGTATTGCCTGCATGTAGGTAAGTGCACCCGTGTCATGCAGTGCCCGTGGAGGACAGAAGAGGCTGTCGGATCCCCTGGAACTGGAGTTACTGACAGTTGTTAGCTGCCATGTGGGTGCTGGGATGTGAACCCGGTGTTCTGCAAGGACAGTCAGCATTCTTAACCTCCAAGCTGTCTCTCCAGCCCCGGAATAAGGAAATTCTCTACCTTTGGGAGAATTTCAAGCCCCTTACACAGGGTATAACTGTTAGAGGCATTTTTGGCATAGCTGGGGGAATAACCAACACATATCCCCTGCCTGAATTTCATTCTCCATGCCCTGAAATCTCTATCCAATAACGGGGAGGATTGTGGAAGACTCAGTCACTATCTTCAAGGAGGGCATACCACTCAATGGCATAGCTGGGGGAATAACCAACACATATCCCCTGCCTGAACTTCATTCTCCATGCCCTGAAATCTCTATCCAATAATGGGGAGGATTGTGGAAGACTCAGTCACTATCTTCAAGGAGGGCATACCACTCACAGAAGTTGAAGAGCTGTTCTGTCTGCTGGGAGATATGCACCTCCCTTTCTCCTGCAAATCTATATAGGTCCAAAAGCCAGGGCTGACTCACGCCAGTAATACTAGTACTTGGGAGGCTAAAGCAGGAGGAACAACGTGAGGTCCAGGCCAGCCTGAGCTACATAATGAAAACCTGTACCAAACCCAACCTAACCAAACCACAAACCTCAGCAAACCAAACATTTTTTCCCATTACGTCTTTACCCAGTCTGAAAATCTTCCCCGTTCCCTGTCATTGGGCCCTATCAATTTAGAAAG